ATATATAATATTAGATTTGCAGAATTCAAAATGGTTGTCTTGATGAAGGACACGCTCAGCCAAAAGAGCTCAGAAAGTCTGATTTTTTTGGGAATCAAAAAAGGCAAATATGTATTAATTTCAGCTCTTAAAGTCTGTGCCATTAGAGCAAAGAAATCATTATCATTATGTGGTGACCTTGCAACCCGACTGAAGACAAATCATTTTTTTTATGTTTCAAAGAGATCCAATCATTTTTCAGAACTGTAGGTCTTCTTCAGTTCAAGCACAAGGTGTGTTGGTCATTATAAAAGAAATTTATCCGGTTCTACTCCAATCTTCTCTCTCTCTCTCTCTCTCTCTCTTTTTTCCTTCAGCTCTTTGTGGAGGCTATGTTTTTGGTAAAAGTGGGACAATTCTCTCTCCTGGATTTCCTGATTTCTACCCAAACTCTCTTAACTGCACCTGGACTATAGAGGTGTCTCATGGGAAAGGTAAGGACAGTAATGCACATACTATATATGAGAAAAGACTACTTGCATTTTGGAAAACACTGTTGTGTTTGTTATTGCAGTTTACACATTTTGATATATATTTCTGCATTTTAAATAATTTGTTTATCTGCCTATTAATCATTTCGCCATACAATCTACTATCTGTACATCTAGGAGTCCATTTGGTTTTCCACACGTTCCATCTGGAGGAGAACCATGACTACCTGTCCATCATTGAAGATAGCAACTTCCAGGTTCCAGTGGCTCGCCTCACTGGCTCAGTGCTTCCTCCCAGTGTTAAAGCTGGCCTTTATGGGAACTTCAGCGTGCAGCTACGATTCATATCAGATTTTTCTATGAGTTATGAAGGATTTAATATTACTTTCTCAGGTATGAACACTAGAAAAGAAGTAACTGTTCTTTTAAATAGACTTACCCAAATATATTGAACAGCTCTATATACTATAATAAAAGTAATGCTAAATGTAATATCCCTCAGCAATGTCATTTGTCTCTCTTGAATGTGCAGAGTATGACTTGGAGCCATGTGAGGATCCCGGTGTACCGGCATTCAGCAGGAGGATGGGATTCCGATTTGGGGTTGGAGACTCGCTGGCTTTCTCCTGTTTCCAAGGCTACAGACTTGAGGGAGACAGTAAAATCACTTGTCTTGGAGGTGGCAGGCGAGTTTGGAGCAACACCTTACCACGATGTATAGGTATGACTCCTAAGTAATAGAATATGATGTATTTATTTATTTATTTATTTATTTATTTATTTACTTTTTTTGTACCCAGCAGCTGTAGTGTTGATTGAGCAATCAGTTCCTATTCCCCAGGTACAGACTTTAGCTAAACCTCAAGTTGGACATTCAGTCTCAGTGAAATTACAAAAACTCCACATGCACCATGAAAACAGATGTTCAGTGGCCCCTTGCTGGCCTTTCCATTCAAAGTTTTCTCACAATTTCATCCTATCAAAAAAAAAGATGAATGTGCAATGTCTGATTTGATCTGCTGTTTGGAACAAAATCCATTCTGAAAATAAAAGTCAGGATGTCTCAACTTAGGAGCAGGCTCGTACTGTTGCAAACAACCACTGTGACATTTTCATTTTTTAGCCACCAGASATGATTAGATGCAACATTTCTGAATTACACATTTCTAAAGTTATGTGTACCCCTTGATTAAAAGCTGCTATGTCATACTATGTCAAGTATTAAATACCTGATGTTTTATGAGGTATTTAATAAAACAATATTTCAATTTTAAAGAAAGACTTGACAAATGTGACAAGATTAGTATATTTTTAGTTTGGAAGCAAACAAAAACCTAAACTAAAAGTCTGTTTAAAGAAGTAGACATTCTGTATACCACAAACTTTGTCAGTGAAATTTCAAAAATATCTGAAAAGCAAAATTCTTTACTCGGGCAATATTGTATCTGTAAACAAACAAACAAAATAAATAAACCTAAACCCCAAATGGTGGCCACCATCCCATTTCAAAGAAGCTACAAAATCTGCTGGAACTAAACTGCTTGTCTTATTGTTAAAGGTCAGCTAAATTGCCAAAATAAATAATATGGTACTGTGGCTGCTCTCCTTTTGTCTTTGTATGTGTGTCAGAGAGAGTACTGAAAGAGCACCATGACATTTTAAAGGTTTATAGTTGGKGTCAAGATAACTTGTTAAAAGTGACCAAAGTCACAACCTTCCCTTTGAATAATAATAAAAAAAAAACTTAAGGTTTTCTCTTGGAGGGACGTGATTAAAGATACAAAACRATTTGAGGTAAGATGGAGTGTGTAGCTGATAGTATCTCTAAAATAATTACCTAGCCTGTTCCCGAAAAGCAAGATATACAGTATCATTAGTTACTTTTCTTTTCAAGATTAAGTTTGCTACTGAATCTTAAGCTTGTTTAAAGAGCCTGTTACTCTTTTTTATGTAATGTGGTACTACTCACATTTCCTTACTCTCATTCATTAACAAACTGCTTTCTCTCCCAGCAATCATTCATACAACTGAAGTGCTTTACAGAGCACAGTAGATAAAATATCCACACACAGACACACTTCAGCCACTTCCAACAAGAGTCATCTAGTCAGACATTGTCGCTCTCTTCCTTTTTTTTGCCTAAGATTTGATGAACAAAAATGAAAAAAAAAAAAAACTACACTGGACAGAGAGCAGTATTCATGAGACCTATCCAGATTTATTAAATATTATCTAAATATTATCTAAAGATAGTGGGAAATAAACAAGACAGACAGAGACTGAAAAAGTAATAAGAAAGAAAGAAAAATCAGATAGTCAACTTACTTTATTTCCTTAAAGAAACAGCGCATTTGCTATAGTAATTTGCATAAATGAGTCATATGTTTTCTGCATAAACCTTTGGACCAGCAGGTGATTTATGATCCCCTCAACATAGAYATTTTGGTTTGTCTTAGATTTGCAGCAAGTTGGCTAAGAATAGCTCAAATTATTTTATATAATCCTGTAACATCTTCCATAAAGAGTGAATATCTTGTCAAATGTTTGKTGTCTTGTTGGCATTGCACCTGTGCACCCTGAAACTCACAGCTATAACAGGCACAGGATTGAAGACAAGTTTCCTTTGTAAATGTAACTTGTGGAGTAATTGGATGCAGCCTGACTTGTACAAAGTCTACTAAATGGCCAATATTATTTAATTAAATGCGCACYTCTTCAAATTTTGCATTCTGAAATTGAAATTTACTCAAATACAAATGCAGCAGTACATGGCAAAGATCATTCTATTCCCATATTATAGTGCTAAGTTAGCACAGTGTGTATAAAATGAATACTGACAGTTGAGATTTTATGTTGAAAGTTACTTTGCAAAAAGAAGAGGGGTGAATGTAAATGTGATACATGGCATTTTGTAAAACACACATCACTAGTTRATTTTTCTCAGCTTTACACTGTCATAGTCTCTCTAAATCTCACTGCTTTTATCTTTTCCTGTTTTACAACTGCAAAGGTTTTTCATTCATCTTTAAACAAGGAAAGTTTGAACAAAAGATCTGCCCTCATCATTAAATGCATGCTTCTAAATAATGTTTTTCTTTACACAAAATTGTTATCATTACATCAAAATACATTAGGCTGAATTTTATATAATGGCATAGAATTGACACATACTTTCTGTATGATTAGGAAAAGAAAAGGTTAGATTTTGTTTGATGGTATTTTGCTTTATTGTTGTAAAAGTGGTCTACTTAATGGCAACTGAGCCATTAATTTATAAAACATATTTGTTTTTACAGAATTGAAGACAAAATTTCTTAGAAACATATATTATACNCTCTCTCTCTCTCTCTCTCTCTCTCTCTCTCTCTCTCTCTCTCTCTCTCTGAGTCAATGGGGTGACAGACTTCCTCCTGGTAGAAAAAAATATAAATATGCAAGTTATGTACTTGCACATGAAAACACTGTATTTAATGTATTTGTTAGCAATATAATCAGAAGCTGTGTACTTGAAACATAGCACTGTAATAGTCACTCTCACACATATGATATGATTCAACATTTTTCTGTCCATATGTAAAGCAGTAATTCAAATACTGTAGATTGTAGTGACCACTTCCAACAGAAAATAATTATTGTTGACTGTTTTCAACAATAAACTGCATAAAGCAAACCATAATACAACTATAATATAAACAAAATAGATCTAAATATGCATCCCAAACCCTGACTTAGTTTGCAAAAACTTTTTTTTTGTTAACCACTTCATTGCTTCTCTTGGTTTTACAAAAATAAGGTGAGCATTGCAATTCATGATGCTTGCACATGCTAGAACAGATCTGACAGTTTTAAAAGGCACTGTACATGTGTAAGTCCTGCACCTTCAAAAGTGTAAAGCCCTTTCTTCCACAGTACATTAATGAGCCATGTCACGTCTTCTGCTGGATTTTGATCCAGCCATGCACACCTGTAACTGCGTGAAGGCAGAAAGTAAATGTYTAGGAATTCTTGGCTCAGACCCCTATCTCACGAAATTGTACCATCAAGGTTTTACCCTCCATTTATAGATTTATTAAACATTTGCGTGCAAAGCCATATGATCCCTTTGGGGGGTTATTAACCATGTTTTCTATTAGTGTTGATGGTTCTGCCTTTGCAGCAGCTATTCATGACTGAAAGAATGCATGAGAAGCAGAGGCAGAATAAAATGAATTYGCCCTCTGCTAACCCTTTACAAAAATCCAACTCATTGAATTACAGTTGGATTTGAAAGCAAACCTTGGATTTTATTCACTTTCAATCGTTTCAACTCGCTGTAATTACAGTTATAGCAGAAAATACTATATGATCCCATAGACAGGGTTTATAATACAAAATTGTTTTATGACCATAAATARATAAATGAGTCATATTCACATTTTAGATTAGATTAGATTTACATATATTTATTTTGTAGTTTGTATAAATGTTTGAGCTTTTTGTGCTGTTTTCTCTGCTCACTTAAATGTCAGTGAGCAACACTTCATGAAAACTGATTCACAGTCTTCACACAGTTGTGTAGACATTGTCTAAAACTGTTTCTATTCACAATGTCTCTGAGCAGTCTGCCTGAGGGCATGGTTAAGCCCGTATGTGGTTTGAGTGTATTATCAGTCTAAGACCCAGCACATTGGTTGAGGTTGTCTGTGGGCAGATTGCATTAGCAGAGTTCTCCCTGACTTTTAGGGAGGCTTAATGTCATTGTAAAAGCTGGAAATGTTCTCAGTGGGATAGGTATTAAAACAGAATGAAAGGAGGGGGCAATCCCTTAAAGGAAAAGAAAGTGACAACAAAATGGTTAACAGACATAAATAAGTTTAAATGCTGCCAATATATTCCATCACTTAGAGTTTTGAAGTAAAGCATGACAAGAACCAACATCCAAGTTTTTTTATACTAATTTTTCCAGCTTTCTATCTACAGACACAGACATTTGTTACTTTTTGTGGAGTTTTCATCCATCTATAGCAGTCATTTCATGTGTGCAGACTGATTTTTGTTTTGTTCTGTTGATGATAAAATGGACTCAATGAAAAGTGAGCTGAAAAGATKTTTGTGCTCAGTGATCAGTGCGACTTAATGAGACATTTTTTTAAACAAATCAACATTTTTGTGGATAATGGACTCACCTCTCACGTCTCAGGTGTGAAACACTTTCAGGCAATTTACATGACCACATGCTCCACCATGGGGAAAAAAAGGCATAGAGTCAAAGCTAAGCATGACTGCAAACTTGCAAACTTTTAAATCTGATTTGTATATGTTATGTAGCAAAACAACTGTAAAACCAAAGCATTTACATACTGATGCTTAGACATTCAAGACTTTTTTTTTATTTAACCATGAAAAAATTAGGCAATAATACTAGTTTTGAAATAATCACATGCATAACCATTATGCTTTAAATGTCATTTTGTAAATAATAATAATAATAATAATAATATGTTCAGCTTCCAGTAATGCAATCCATGGAATATTTTCTTGGAAAAATTGGTAAAATCTATGACAAATGAAACAAAAGTCCTACTTAGGCTAACAATTAGCTTGCTGCTTCAAGGCTAACAATAATGGATCTAATTGTCATTACTGCCGCCAAACATTTTGAACACAAACCATTTGTTTGACAGCTTCAGTCAGCTTGAGGCTAAAACCTCCTTTAGCGCATGAACCAGCTCATTACAATTCCTCATGCCACTGGCCAAGGTTTCATCCTGGCACTGTCAAAGGAAAGGCTTACCAAGCCGAATCTCGCAAAAAAATGCCACTTAATACAGCACTTGACCACATTTAGTCAGATTTACCTGACCTCTACAGGGGGGGAAAGAGAAGGGGATGAGAAAGAAATGAAACAGTAGTGAGGTGGAATTGTTACAAAAATAGAGGTGGCAGGAGAACATGTGAGAGGGAGTCAGACAGACAGAGGGGAGGGGTGGCAGATGGTGACATGTTGATTTATGAGCTGCAGGGCTTTTCATTAACCATACTGAGTTTTACAGAAAACGGAGGGCGGGGTGTGKGGGGGGAGCTGAAGAGAAAGTATAACAGCAGAAAGCAAGAGGATAAAATGCAAAATTTGTAGAAACGAGGAGGGAAGCTGAGGGGGAGGAACATGAGGGGAGCTTTAAGCCGTTTTATCCTATCTGTCTTCATATAATGCTTTCCATCTCAAGCACACACTCAGACAGATTGTAGCTTCATGTAGAGGTGTCTCTTCTGACTGACAACACTTGTAAAGATAGAACTTTACGTCACCTTAGCCAATTTTGTTGGCATTCCTGCAACCTGCCGACCTGTCTGCATCAATCTGTGAAAATGCCACATGCTGTCAAATATAAGCAGTTCAACCACGCACTAAACATTTCTGTGTCGGCGTTGTGATAGAAATACAAAGTGTTGCTGAATCAAATACCCATTTTAGGGTTGAAATGTTGTACAAAAATAACACAAAAATGGTATATATCCAGAAAAAATATATTTTACATGTTCTGCTGTGTAATCCCTTACCATGCTCTTAATTTGAGCACTTGTATTTGAGGCTAACACTTACATAAGAAATTGTGGTTAAATACATAATTGAAATTTACATCAAAATGATTTGCTTTGTCTTACGTGGCCCTGTTAACATTTTTTTGACAAAAATGCTGTGCAAGGAACAAATCTGGGTTTTTCTTTTAGGTAGCACTGAATGAGTAATTATTCCTTGAATGTTCAGTCGGTGTGTTCACACATCAGCTTCTCATTTAGATACTTTTGTGAAAGCACACTAAATTTCTGACTGCAACTGCTGCATCCTTATGATTGCACATCCACAGTGTATAATGTAATAT